CTATTACTCATTACCTGTTGTTTTCAAATAAATTTTGAGACAAATCTTCACAGTATCTCTTGTTTTATTGTATTAATGTGCTTTATGATCACACAAAAACACATTTGACAGTAATTATCTGTTGCAGTTCCACATTTACAGCAAAAATAAGGGGTGTATATTTGAGTATAATACATATTCATTTTACACCAAAAAAATAAACGCCACCTCAGAAACCCTTCTCAACAATCAATAATAATAATAATTATATAATAATAATAATAATATTTAAATTAAACAAAATAAACAAATGGATAAATAATAAAATGAGTTCTCAAATAGCAACACATGATGTCATAATCGTATCAAGCATAGTGCTTCAACGAAAGCCACTTTTCGTTGAAGGGCTAAAAATATCCATGATGACTTGTATCACTCCTGTATTACCCATGATCACGTATGTTTCTTAGTGGTTTAATATAAGCAAATTTTAATACTCTGCCCAGTGAAATACATAATAATGTGTTTGCATTCATGATTATATTAAACTCCAGTCAAAAAGTAGATCATTATTCTTCGTTTGGATTTATTGTAAAGGATTATCAAAAATTAGGCTTAATAATGGTTGTATTTTGAAATTTTTTTAGAGGTTTCAGACTAATAAATATTAGAGTATTATAATATCTATATATGGCACCTTCACATAATTAATCAAGTGTTTAATGCACCTAAATATTAATACTGTACAGTGTTATCTATATATACACATCTTGATAATTAATTAAAATATAATTATATTTAATTGTTATTGTTTACACAATGAAAGTTAATGGTGGTCTTGTGGAAAGATTACACGATTCTCCTGTCTAGCTTGTTCAGCACGAAAGACCAACAGATGGCTTCTGAGGGAGACATCTGGCCCTGTCAGTACTTTCGAAGTATCATTTTCCTGCAAATATAAAAGAACCCAGAAAAATATTGTTCAAATTGGAAAGACACAATTAGTGATTGGAGAGAGTTATAACCTCTTGTGATTGTAGAAGGAGTAACATCTGGGGATTATGAAAATAAATAATATTCCAAACTTAAGGTCAGGGTTTCAAGCTGTCAATGTGCATGAATTTGTGACATTGAGCAAGATACTTTATCTACATTGCTTCAGTTTAACCAGCTGAAACCGCAATGAACTAGCATCCCATACTATATTATACAAACATATTATGTAAACTACAAACCCATACACCTATAGAGTACCACAGTCGTGTCGCCACAACGCCAGGTAGCGCCCTCTGTTGCCAACCAGACGTTGGTTACTGTTCATTAAGCCTGAATGCCTGCATAGGCTTTATGGTATAGGCATCTTAAAATCTAATATTTTACCATCAAAATGTACTAAAAACACAAAAGTTTGCATTATATTAGTTATCGAACACACATTTAATCATCAATTAAAATCTACAAAAAAAACTAAGATACAAGATCTTAATAATTACGTTAGAAATTGGGATCAATGGTTTTTCAGTGAAGAAAATGGCGTCCCGTTGAACGCATTTGCGTTATCGTGACGTAACACAGTAGTACTCTATATACTACACATCTGCAAACTTGTGACAACAGAAAAAACTTACAGCAACAGCACAAACAAAACTGTCAATCAAGTAATAGTCAGCCCCTCCATGTCCAGAGAGTTGGCCAGCATTTATGGTAGAGGGCGCCGCAGAGTGTACTGATATCTCTTTCGAGTTGAAATCAAATCGATATACTGGACCAGATCCATTGTAAGTCAATTCACCCTGAAGAGTAAAACAAGAGGTTATTTTTAAATATTTGACTTCAAATCTGAAAGTTATGGAGAGCAACATTCGTCAGAAGGCATTGTGGAGAACCATTGTTAACCTTTTGGTACTTAGTTCAATTCCATTTGCTGGTCTTCATTTGTTTCAGCTAGAGGGCAAAAAAGCAAGAATAAAAAGTTGCCCAATCACCCCCAGAAGGACTCCACTAGAAGTCTTTTGACTTTCATGGTTATCCTTCATGCTCACACAAAATATATCCAATCCTGGTGTGTAGTAGTAAAGTATAATTGAATTGAAAAAGAATTACTTATTGGTTTGGATTGGATTTTTCTTGTTATAAAACACACTAAAGATGACCCACAAAAGTTTAAAGACATATTTCTAGTACTGTACTGTTCTTTTGGTGGTGAATTTCGCAGTAAACTGAAAAACAATCCCTGCTCTTTATCATACTGCATACAAGACCAACAGAAAGCTGGCCTACACGGTGCTGACAGTCATTGGCTATAGCGATTCCTTTGAGATTGCAAAATGCTGTGTGCAACAGATCATTTTCAATTATGATCTGCTCAGAATATCGTAAACTGGAGAGCAGCAATTGGAATTGAACTGAGGATCAAGTTCATGTAAGACTACCATGATTCAGCACACACACAGCAGCTACCACCACTAGTTTAGCCAACTGAGCTGAGCTGCTATCTATTTCTTAATAGGTTCTGCATTCAAAATGTTGCATGCATTTTACCTTTGTTCCAAATATTTTGACTTGGCGTTCACAGACTTTCTCGGTGAAAGCTACCATAGAAAAGCTTGCAGTTTGTCCTCCGGCAAATTCCAAATTCACTACCTGGTTGTCACAGACATCATTGTCAGAATCATAAACACATCTTCCGTATGGACCTTCCTTCAATGCTTTTGTTACACTCTTAATAGAGGGTTCTTCACAAATTATAGATACAGGCCAACCAGTCATACCCTATAGAAAGAGGTTGTGTAACTATAAGCAAATATGTCTAATGAACTGTAGAGATGTTCACTAGGTCAGCGATAATATACAGTACAGTGGCTTGAAACATACTTTATAATATTTTAATTGTATGTCCTGATGTATACTTGGCTTATACATTTTACTGGAAGAAATTGCAAAAATATAAGTCAAGAAGTAGAACCATTTATTCAACAATAGGAATAAACACGTTATATTTTCATTGCGGATTTTTTGGGCTCAGTACGGACTCTAAATGTATGCATTTTCTTTTAGTTTTAAGGCGTATGCGGATTTTATAAGTCCGCAATGACGATATAACGTGTTAATATCAGAGATTACAAAAAACAGACATTTACTATCCATATTCTTACCTGTTTTACACGTTCTAAGTACACTTTTTTGGCAGAGTATGCACAGTCCCCTTCCACACTGCAATCCAAGCATCTAGAACTAGCGCCCTCAGGCTACGTGAGCAAACAATAAAAAAAAAATCTTCCAATATTACATTATTAATAAAACAACATTTATAATACCTGATCAAGCTAGCATTTTATTACATGGTGTATCATTAATTGTCAGTTAATGTTCGATAGTAAGATAATTTCATAAACAAGTGTGCATCTGCTGTTCCCACAAACATTATCCAGTAATATACAAATTTTCACCTGTATTTTCTGTTCAATAATTTTCACACTGTACTGTTAGAAAGACAATGGAACTAAATGTCACTTGCGCACCTTAGTGAGTAATTATGCCTCCCATTCCTCCACCTTTGCAGGCTTTTTCACCTGTAAGATGTTAGACACAACTTACATTGATTCCATTTCATTTATACATTTTTCCAGAAAATTGCAAATGAATGAAAACATACATATAAAACATGCCTGAGGATTGCTTTAGAAGCAAATTTTTTGAAGACACAGGGTAAGTTCACCCTAGAGCATTAATATCCTGATCAGGAGCTAACAATCAGCTCAATCCGTTAGCATGCGTGTGAGAAGGCCCAATCGGTTAGCTTTAACCTCTCCCAGGAAGTGGAAGTTGATCCACCAACAAGCTTTCAGCATTAGAGCAAAATTCTTTTTGTTGTTTATAGAGGTTTGACATGTAGTATACTCCCCTAATGATGTAATTAACTCTTTTAATATATTTTCAAAAAGGGAAAAGTCTGCTAAATAAGAACATTTTAATCCACATGTTGATAACATGCTTACCTTCTTATCTTTCCTGAAGTGAAAGAGAGATCCAAAAGATGAGATTTTGGTACATCTATAAAAGAAGAATGCATAATCTGCTGTTTGATTTGAGCACTGTTTCTACCATTATTTGATTATTTATATTATGA